TGGTATAGAAAAAGTTTTCTTATACCAACTTCACCTCAAAAGAGGAGTTCAGAATGTTATAAGTGCAGAAATATATCACTCCAGTTTGGATAATATTAGAAAAACGAAATGAACATCCACTTTATCTCCTCCAAAACTGTGCTCTGAACATAATCTTTCAGCTTCATAAGAAAAAGTAATTCGGAGAAAATCAAGCAACAAATATTTTCAAAAGTTCCTTTTTTAATAATTGTATTGTATTTAATACCTGATAGTTTGGAAAAATGTCAGAATCCTTTTGCATATGTACTGCATTATCAGACAGAAAAGAGTTTCTGCCCTCAATAGAGGATAGAGCACTTAGACAAAAAGAGTCGCTGGACAGGAAATAAAGTCAGGAGAAGTACAGTACCTCTAGCATATCCTAATTTAACAACTTGCAACTATCTTCAAGCAACACTGACAGTAAAATTTCCAAGTGTATAAACATTTATTACTTAAACAATTCAGTATCAGCACATGCTTGGAGAAATGCATTATGATGTATTATTTTAAACAGGATTATTTTCCCATAACCTGGAAAAAGATATGAATTTCATGCACTTTAACATGGCAAAGGAATTACCATTTTAAAGAGTTCTTAATGCTGTTATTTCAGTATTCAATAAGGTGTAAGGGAGCTGTGGAATAACCATTTTACATATAAAGTTTCTCTGTGAAATTCAGAAATAATGAAAAAAACATTCCAAAGGAAATAAATGCAGGAAATATTTTCTGTTCTATTTCACCAAAGAAGCTATTTGAACCTTAAGATTATCTATAAAACAATCAACTCCCATTTTTATCTCTGTATATTTCTGAGCTGAGTGGTCAGGTTGACACACCTGGAGGATGGATTCCATCCAGAGGGACCTGGACAAGCATGAGAAACAGGCACATGGGAATCTCCTGATGTTTAACAAGACCAAGTACAAGATGCTGCACCTGGGTTGGGGCAACCACCCCTGCCAACCCCGGCTGGGGATGAACAGATCCAGAACAGCCCTGCTGGGAGAGACTTGGGGGTGCTGGTGGGTGAGAGGCTGGACACGACCCTGCCATGGGAACTCACAGCCCAGAAACCCAAACGTGTCCTGGGCTGCATCCAGAGCCCCGTGGGCAGCAGGGGAGGGAGGGGATTCTGTCCTTCTGCTCTCCTGAGGAGAGCTCACCTGGAGTGCCGCATCCAGCTCTGATGCCCCAGCACAAGGAAGGGTTGTTGGGGAAAGTCCAGAGCAGGCCACAGAGACAAACAGAGGGATGGAGCACCTCTGCTGTGAGGAAAGCCTGGCTGATTTGGGTTGTTCACCCTGGAGAAGAAAAGGCTCCCAGAAGACCTTACTGAGGCCTTTCAGTACTTAAAGGGGGCTTATACAAAACATGGAAACGCTTTTTAGTAGGCCTTGCTGCGATAAGATATGGGGTAATGGTTTTTAACTAAAAGAAGGTAGAATCAGACTGTGAGGGTGGTGAGACACAGGAGTAGGTTGCCCAGAATGGTCAACCTAGATGCTCAATCTATGGAAACATTCAAGTTTAGGTAGGACGGAACTCTTAGCAGCCTGATCTAATTCAAGATGTTCCTGCTCATTGCAGGGGGATTGGATCAGATGACCTTTAATGATCCCTTCCCACTCAAACCATTTTATGATTTTAATAAACAAATCAAACATATTTCATAAATGAATTAACCGAGAAAATTGCTTATAATGGCATATGTTTAAATGCATGGTCAATTTCTAGACTTCTGAGAATCTTCATCAAATCCGTTTCCGTGGTAATTTAATGGAATGAATTTAATTGTGAACTATATGGTATATTTCTATGCATTAGGTAACTGAGCCGTGTATTCAGAAACGTACATGTTATATTTCTCTCAATAAACAAGTCCAAGCTCCTCTCTTCCCCTTGCTGGCTTACTTCACTATTTGAGGATGAAGGCACACACTACCTGGTTAGGTTAAATGAGACCTCTGAATCCCAACAGACTTAAGATATTGAAAATAAGTAATCAAAAATTATAGAAAACAAAAATAATTCTGGAAGAATTTATATCATAGGTCTGCTTAAACTCTTAACACACAAGGCAGGCCCAGACATTTTTTGCTTTTGTGATCTATGGAGTAGCCAGTTACAGGACATAATATTCTAAACTCATGAGATCTGATTTTATAAAAGAGCTTCTTAGTTCCAAAATCAGCTCATATTAGCACACACACACACACACATATATATATATATATATATACATATAAACAAACCAACAATTTCAGAGAATTTGCTAAATAAAAAAACCCTATTTTTTACATTACCATAAATAGTTGTTGTTCTTCTCAACATATTTTCATAAAATTTCAACTTCCTATCACTTTTTTTTTCTCACAATGAAGTTTTCTAGCTTAATTTATCTCGAGGTAATGTCTAGCTAAAACCTAAGTTTACATTTTATGTAGCTAATTCTGGAAGAATCACATGAATCATCTTGAGTATTCTCAACTGCAGGAGTTCGACCGTAGACATTCATGTTCAGCGCTGGTTTTGCCATGACTGAGATGCAATTGTAATCAGGACAGAACAGTTGTAAATCAGCACAATTCTTTGTCTAGCACATGATCTTGGTCATGTTAAAGCTGGTTCCTAACACAGGAGGCAGATAGCACACGCTTCCACATCTCCTTTCCTCTTTGTAAGTGTACATCTGACAAAGATAACCGCAGCAGCACTATCACTTATTCAAATATTAAAGGACTATGCAGATTTTATTTGACATACATATTTTCCCATATTTTATTGAGGCTGATCAGCTTCAATACAATAATTACAGAGAACACTGTTAGTTCTGACATAGTTGTCTAGTTTGTCAATGCTTCCTTAGGCAATTATGGCATTCTTTGATTTCACTATTTCTACTTCATCTGAGTATTGGAGTGGTTCCCCTCTTCAGACCTCTCTGCAGGAGGGCTATAACTGGCCTCTACATCACCAGCAATTATATTGCTTCTCTTTGACCAGGAGTCATAGGAACAGTCATTTAGAGAGCATCAGGCACACTGGTATGTGACCTAAATGTGTATAGGGAATTTCTCCTTAAGAAGTTAGGATTATGACCCCCAGGATTTACAAAAAAAAAAAAAAAAAAAGAAAGGAAAATTCAGACTTTACACTCTTAGGAACTTGCTTATGACTTCAGTATCAGTATTTGTCCCAAAAATACAAATTTTCACCTTTAACCCTCAGTAAGCATCTATTTTTCAAGTTTAATTAGAAAAAAACCCCATCAATATATTTCAGCCATATAGAAATTATAATCAGACATTTATTATTTTGATATCTATAATGTTTGTTTCTCAAAAGACTTTCATTTTCCCACAGGGACACATTGGAGGGAAGATTTTCCAGTTTTCATAGTTTATTTATAGATTGAATTTGTATTTTAATTTTTATCTTCTGCAAAGAAAGGAGCATTATTCCAACAAAATGCAAACGATATATCTGTCTTTCAGCAATAACAATGTAGTAAGCAGAAGCTAAAAATCTAAAGTTGTTGCAATGCTGTCAGACTGGTCATTGCAAAAGCAAAGAGTGTGTTTCTTTTGCTTATGTAATGATTTAAGCCCAAATGTCAACAAAGCACCATGCAGCCATCCCTCACCCCCCCTTTAAGTGGAATGGGGAGGAAAACCAGAAGTAAAGTCTGTAAGTAAAGTTTAATAGTTGCAACAAATTAATAATTTACTTATTACTAGTATTTACTATTTACTTATTACTATTATTGTTTACTTATTATTATTATTATAGTACATAACAGTAATAGTAATAGCAATAATAATAAATAAAACCCAAGAAAGAAAGGGATGCACACTACAATTGCTAATCACTCACTGACCAATGCCAAAGCCCATCCCTCTTTCAGGTAACTCCCTTGTTTATACACTGGGCATGACATTATGGAATATCCCTTGGCCAGTTCAGGTCATCTGTCCTTGCTATGCTCCCCCCTTAGCTTTTTTGTGCACATCCTCAATGGCAGAACATGACACTAAAAAAATAAAAGTCATTGGCTCAGGGCAATTACTACTTAGCCATAACCAAAACATCTGTGTGTTGTCAAAATTATTCTCGTAATGAATGCAAAATCCAGCACTGTACTAGCTACTGAGAAGATATTAACTCTATCCCACCCAAAACTAGGACTTTTCCTATAGCTAATTAATAAATTAAAGCACCACAGTGTCTTTTTGCATAATCTGTTTATTTTCTTTATTCAGATAAGAGTTTCCAGTTTTAGTAGTGTATGCATCTTGAGTTACATCTGAGCACTACCTATTAGTCAAAGACTTTTCCCAGTTGACAGAACTGTGAAAAATGCAATTACAAAAAGCTGATAGATTATTTCTTTTAAGAAGTAAAAACTGTCACATTTATTCAACCTGCATGTAGAAGCTTGCACACAATTATGTCAAAATGTGAAGATATCATGGACAGCAATTGGAGGAAATATTTTTAGGTTTTTAGTGTGCCCGGATTCTGCCTATATAAACAATATAGATTAGAAAGCACTATGAAAAATAATGCATTCAAACAGAATATATTAATTCTCTTCTTAAAAAGGACTGTAATGAAGTTTCTCTGTTCACCTGATTGATGCTACTTTTAAGTGTTATCTTTATGGTCTCATCTCTCTCTTCCCTCAACAAAAAAGATGCTAACACATACACTGAGAAGACTAAAAAGGAAGCAGGGGGAAGATAGGATGACCCACATAAAAAAACCCCAAAAACTACTGAAGTTGATAAAAGCTTAAGTCTCTGCAAAATTTCCTTTTTTTTCCCTTTTCCACTTCTTCCAGGTGAAACACAAAGGAGAGAGCATGACCTTTACAAACCAAGTCACCTCATAACTGCTAAAGCTCTTTAAAAAGATACAAGCTCTCTCTTATAATGAAAGTGTCCCACAGAAAGATGAAACACTTGTCTACTCACAGGACAGAGTAGGGCTTCTTTCCAGCCACAGAGTAAACTGAACTTCCAGTCTCTGGGTTTGAAAACTTGGACCTGAAAATAGGAATGAACAGTCTCATAATGTCCTAGGAGAATATGACTTATTCTGCTGCCAGGTGACTCTCCCCTAACTGATCTCAAAAATCAGCCTTTATGCAATTAAAAGCTAAAGAAAAGCCCCTTACTTATAATTTAATATTTTGGAAGATGCTGTAATGGTGGAATCTATAAATTCACTTATGCATGCGTATGTGCAGAGAGCATATATTTGAATGTAAATTAAGAAATTGACATTTAAGATGGAAAATACAACACCCAGGTGCATTTTTTTCTGCAATTAAAGCCATGCTAAAGCCATGCTAAACTGCTAAAAGAAACATTATGCAAAATAACTTTTCATGATTCTAGATTTGCTTTAGACATCTTAATATTAGGTTAGATTTGCAGTCTGGAGGGAGGGAGTAAATGTTTTCTTTGTTTTCTTGTTTGCCTTGTTACATTTGGAAATATGTAACTAACATTTGTACCAAAAAGCAAGACAAATATAGTTAAAAAGTACAACTGCAGAAAGTTTAACTTGAAAACTCAAGACCTGAACCTGAATATTTCTGCAGAGCCATTAGTGTAACATTCTGGCTAAAATCCATACCAGATAGATAGAAAGGTAGATATACTTAACATGTAGTTAATAGAAAGTCTTTAATTGCTGTCATAGAGAACATCCCAGAAAGAAAAAAAAAAATGACACATTTTCCTTTTTTGATGGCTAAAAAGTTTCAATAGTTGCAGAATGATTCCACTGTTACATGTGGAGATTATCTAGAATGTTATTAAATGGCTCCGTTTGCCCTTTAAATAGAGTTTTTAATGTGCAATGCAGACACATGCTGGCAGATCCATGCACAGGCATGTTCTTACAGTACCAGAGGCCTCATATGAAATTTTCCTGAGCTACTAGATTAAAATTTTGATATAACTTGTCACTTTGGTGAGAGTCTATGACAACGAACAAACCCAAAAGATGAAGTTGCTTACTGGGTGGATGTGAAGCCTTAGTTGTTTTGGCGTTTTTTATGTATTTATTTTTGAATGACACAAACACTTGGAGCAACATGAGAATCCAAATGAAATTCCAGCAGACTTTCATTAACTTCAACCAAGAAAGAGTTTCACACCTTCATACTGACATAGGCTAACACAGAAAACCTTTGACAAAGGGTAAGCCTGCGTAACCAACTGCTTAAGACGTGAAACATCCCATAAATAACATCACCAGAGCAAAACTTGCCCAGTTTGCAATTCAGAAATTAAAGTAACATTCCATTTATAGCATTTTTTGAGATGCCTGCAGAGTTTGGCACCAGAACTGAAGCATTGAAATCTATTTTTAAGCTGTTGCATGAGTATAGAGAGGATTCTCTAGAAACAGCAAGATACCATCACAGACTAGCACAGGAGGTGGAACAAGCAACATTTATTCACAGACTTCCAAAGCAACATTTATTCACAGACTTCCAAAATAGCCTCCAAAGAACAGAAAAGTATTAGCTGTCAAATTACCTATTGCCAGTACTCTCCAGAGCAGTCAGAATCAGTCTCCCCATTTCATCCTCATTTTTTCTCAGGCTGGGCTCAAGACCTCACAGCTCTCTCAGTGTTCACAAGACCTCCTCACAGTTCCCTCAATGTGCTTCAGCTTTTCTAAGCGAGACTGCCACCATTTCTCTATCTCATCTCATCTCATCTCATCTCTTTCTCTAATTCTGTCATATTATTTTTTCTTGCCATCATCCAAATTTGTCTCACAAGGATTTTCTTTGCCGTTTCCTGCCTCAGTTCCCTGAAGTTATGCCTACATGAGGTAGCAAGTAGAAGATTCATAGGATGAATCAGACCTGCAAGTCTTTTTTTTTTTTTTTTTTTTGCAAATTTCACAGTTAGTTTCAATGCTGTGACTCCAAATTAAGTCAGGTACATTCTGAAGTGAAATCTGTAATCTTCTCTTCACTTGGGTTTTCTATACTGTAAAACAATAATTAACTATGAAGTGCTTTTGGCTTGAGAGCACACCACTAGCAAGTTACACTGAAATGGTGTCCTCTTTCATTCTTTCTGAAATGCATTTTACTATTTGGTTGGGGAAGGCAGGGGAAAGAGTATTTCTTAAAAACATATTAAGATGTTTGCTACTCCCAAAGTTGAAAACTGCCTGAGAAAAATACCAGTTGTGACTTTATGAGCTTTTTTATGTGGGAAATAGGTCTAAGGTAATAAATTTTTTAAATAAAAAACAGTGAATGTTTTTTAAAGTGTCATACAGAGAAAATGTTGTATTTTCACACAGAATATTTACACACATTAAAAAGTAGGTCAATATTAGCTCATGATTCCAGCTCAATTTCATTCTTAAATGTCTGTCACTGGTAACGTGTGTCTCCTTTTGTCAGACCTTTCCCATTTCATCCTTACAGAAATAAAACCCACAAAAAACAACAAACAAACAACAACAAAAAAAACCCCATCTTTTTTCCCACTCTTCAATTTAATCATTTTTCCTTCCATCTCCTTCAATCTCCTTGCTCACTCTCTGGTAGCCTTCACATCTCCACAGCAACACTGTTCTTTCCTTTCCTATGCAAGGTCCCCAACAAAAATTATGAAGGAAAATAAGTCCATTATAGATTAAGGTTGTTACCGCTGTTATCTCTAACTGTTATGTTTAAGAACATTTGTAATAAAGAAAGCACAAATCTCACCTCCCTACATCATGGGAGATATTCACATGTAAAGTTTTGAGGAAGTCTGAATTGTAATTTTCATGTATCATTTTATATGTGTATAATTTGAAGCCTGATATGTTCAAGCATCTGTAAGTCTTTTCATTTTATATTCTAAATAACACTATTGATTGTTCAAAATGTTTGTTTTCTAAGTCTAATAAGAGTGAAATAAGACTGATGTTGTATTTTGTTTACTAAATATACATTTTTCTCCTGAAAATCAATACATCTACAGAATTACATGAATGGATTTATATACTTGAATTATCTGTCCATCATATCTTAAGACATGCAGTGGTTATACACCTGTTACATTGCTCCAAAATCATTGTGTTTTCAAGAAGAAAATCTGAAAATTATACCAATTTTCTCCAACACATGGTCTTTTCCTACTTGTTTTTTTTTTTTTCTTTTATATATATATAACTGTGTAAATAAACAAATCATGCATTACACATGCACTATTGATTCCCAGGAAGCTAGAAGCTTGGAAGAGATGTTTATATCAACTTGCAATACCTGTAAAGAAGATGTGGCCCTTTCAGCCTGTGTTGCAGAAATATAATTTTCAGTTAATGATTCTGCTAATTTTCATGTAAACTTATGAACATACATTGATTGTGTATTTCATAAAAGCTAGCACATTTATTTATATATCTTCCAGAGGATAAAAAAAATGCATTTCTATTTTGAAATTTGGGCAACTGGTCAATTCAAGCTTTTGAGAACCAAGTAAAATTACTTCAAATGGGAAAAAACAAACAAGCAAACACCACCACCTCAAAAAAAAAAAAAAAAAAAAACAAAAAACCTGAAACTAGATGCAGCTATCTAAGCATTGGGCCTACTCTTGCATTACAGATTGCTGATGAAAGGTGACAAGAATGTTGGATGAGAGCTTAGAGTACAAACTCACTTTTTTTCTCTAAATTTTGGGGACAAAACATTCCACTCAGACCTCCAGAAGATTTTGAAAGAGGCTGTTTCTTTGTTGCCCAGTTTTTCTGTATTTCTACATAGACATCTGTATACTCACATGTACACATACACACACTCACACATTTATTCCCACCTTTCTCCCACACATTTAAAACAAACAACCCCACATTGCAAATCCACTGAAAAGTACTTAAAGACAACTTCAAAGCTATATGGTTACACGTGGTTATCTCAGCACTGCTCTCTGTGGTCCCATACAGATACAGCAGAACTTACACCTTCCAGTACCTTAGAGTCAAAGGAATAAGTAACTATTTCTAAATCTACCTAATTTTTAAATCTTATTACATTAAAATTAAGATAGTAACTAGAATAATAAAACTGAAATAAATAACAGTTTTTCAAGAAACTCCAGATGAGTGCTATCCAAGGTACCTAAAAGAACTGCATGAGGGAAAAAAGATGTTTGCTCTTTCACAAATAATAATTCTATATAATTTGACTGTGATGAATGCTGGTACTGAAGTGAGTAAAATTTAAATGCTACTCTCAGCAATTAAACTAAAAACAGTTAAATTGCTGTTCTAAAGTTACTGAAGCATAACTCAAGTAAGTAATTAGGCAAGGCATAAAAATGCTGCTTCAAATTTATTATATACACAGCTCACATCCAAAGAGGTATGTTCTTTTGGGATCCTTTTTTCCCAGTTCTCTTTATTGGGCATGGTTGAGCATAAGAAAAAATAATTGTATTTTGCTTCTTTCTTCTGCAGTGATAAACCAGACTGTCAACTGCATATTGCATCACTTGTTCAGGAATCTGCAGGATTTGGGATCCTAACCCTGCCCTTCCCTCCATCCCATCTGTTGTGGAAGTGAATGTAGAAGGGTTTCTGTTAATATTCTAAAAGACTGTTTTAAGGAGGCAGGTGTCATTTTAATGGAGGAGGTGAGGTGGTTTCTTATGGGTTAAGTTTTCTCCTGACTCAACTGCATCTCATCTTTTTCCTGTTTTTATTTTTATTTTATTTTCCTATTTTTATTCCTGTTAAAATATCTTAGACACAATTAGGTTAGAAAATCTGAATATTTAGGCCTATAAGCTGTAAACATAAAAAGAGACATGGGCTATTAAAACAAAAATGCTCTACTGGCAGTTCAAGATTTTCTAGCTCTGCTGTTGATCTAAACAGCAACATGGTCTCATTTATTTTCCAAAGGAGTAAGAGTACAGAAGATCACAGTAGGAAACATACAGCAAAGCTGAAGCCATGGCAAAACACATTGCCATATATTCATTGGTATCAACACTACTAGAAGCACATTCAAAGCATT